CTTCTTGTGTAATAGATTTAAAAAATATAAATACAAGTTTAACTAAAAGATAATGATAAAAGAATTTTTAATACAATGGAAAACTAACCTAGAAATAGTACACTACCACCACCAAACTCTGCTGCACCTATCACTTATTCCTGGTCAAATCTCTCTTGACTATTAAATACTAACAATATCACTGAACCTCATCAACCACTTAGTCCTAATAATGATAGTTCATCTTCTGATTTAACCACTAGAAGCATTAGAAGTATTCAACAAATGTATTCAAATATGGGCAGATCTTTCTTACAAGTATCTTGATGTCAATTACGCCAACTATCCACTACCCGTTTCTTATCTTGCCAGCCTTCTTTCACCCCTCAAAATGAACCTAATTCTTATTCTGAATCTAGATATCATTCTAGATCACACCATACCGATTATAATCGATCAATATCTCTAGCTTAACAACCTTCTTTAAGATCATGATCATGAAAGAGATCACTAACACATGATAGATTATCCAATCAAAATTGTACACATAGTCAAAATAGTAAGTATATAAAGGCTTTTTTTTAACATTTGTCATTGAATTTTTTTTTTTTGGAAAAAATTTTTTTTTTTTTATTTATTTTTATTGTGTGCATTAAGCAAACTACAACTGCCCTGATTGCTCTGATCGCTCTAATCACCCTAACTGTCCTGGCCGCTCTGACTGCCATGACTGCCATGACCACTATCAGTATTGTTAGCAAGTTGATGAGCGAATGTTCACCCAACTTAAGCATTTATATTTAATGCTCAAAAGACTTGAGAAAAGTACAAATAAAATTAAAACCAAACTAGGTTACCTGGAAAGGCATCAAGAAGAACAAGAGAACAATCTCTCTGCATAAGTAATAGATGTAAGTATTTTGGGTTAGCAACAATTTAGATCTAGCATGTTTAAGTGGTATATAGTGTTTAGGATCTAGCATGTTTAAGTAGTATATAGTGTCTAGTATATAATACATATATTGTTTTTTAAAAATATATATAGGATGTGTTTACCTGCATGGCCAAGCAGCTCTTCCTATATAATATATATCCTAGTCAAAGTGATTTAAAGAATGTGCTTAAACAAAGCCTTGAAGAAAGGTATCCTGAGTTTATGCATTGTTTAAGTTCTAATTAATATAACAATAGGTTTCATAGTAAATAGTTCAGCTTCTATATATTGATATCTATCATTTTTTAAAATATATTTCTTTTAATTATAACTTATTTACTAATTTTTACAATAGCTTTTGCAAAAAATGAAGAATCTGTGAGGTGCATTAGTTCAAAACATAAGGACAGCAGTCTGGCATGTGTTCAGTTATAAAAGACTACCACTATTAAAAAAAAATGCTACACCAGCCGATATAGTAAGTTGGAAGCAAAATAAAGAAGTTTTGGATCATTATCATGCGCTCTTTGAAATGAATGAGGAAGGTGTCTTTTGGGTATCAATAATTGTAAAAGCAGCCTTTTCCAAGATTGCTGTACCTATACTCTCAAATGAGCATTGCACTTTTATGCTCACAGTCTGTGATATTTTACTTAATCCCAAGTCCAGAAGTGTCACATGTTCGGAAAAATGTCTTATGCATCATATCGAAAGATATCTTATAAGTGCTATTATTAATTGCATATGCTTTATTAATAGTAATTAATTAATTATTTTTTAATATAGAACAATTTTGGTAATAGTGGTCTATCATATGAAACAGCCAAATCAATACTAAACAATGAGAATCATGGTTCTTCATGACAAGTGTCATCCCAGTATGACTCATTGCCTTAGTATGAACTGGAAGCAGGTTCTTCATCATTTCAGCAATCATCTCAACATCAAACGGAACTTTCACAGAAGGATGCTGATGATTTATTTGGTTGCAATGATTAAATTTTTGCTTCAAATGTTTTTTTTTGAATTAGTTTACATTTGCTAGCAGTTATTATATAATAAATTATAATAAATTTTATTATTTGTGTTATAATATAATTATACAGTTTTAGTAACAGTAATAAATTTATATTATGTATTGTAATTGGCTTTATAAATAATATGTTTTATAAATATCTTATTAGTGATATTGTTTTTTAAAAAAAGTACTTGATTAAACTGGTTATATATCGATTAATAACTTTATTAGATATATATTGATTGTTTAAAGCTGATTATATATCAGTTTATACCAAAATCATTATAACCTAGCAGGGGTGATTAGTATCAATATATATCTAATGGGTTACCGATTGCTATATATCCCTATATAAAATTTCTCGATGAATAGAGAAAGTACTGATGAAGAAATATATAAATATAACTGAAAGAAAGAAAATAAACAAAGAAATAACAAGAACAAAAATGAAGATAGAAACAGAGAACATCACAGAGAAAATTTTATAATCAAAGATTAGAAGCAAGAGAAGATAAAAAAAAAAACAAACCATAATTACAATCACAAGCAGGTACCTCAAACATCGAAAATATCTTAGAATGAATACTAGAAAAATTAAAAAGACTAGAAGAAGATAGAGAGAAAAATAAGATAAACCAATCTAAACACTCCTAAGGGTGCTACAGTTGAACTAATGAATATAGACAAGGAAATTGAAGTATTTTTGCAAAAAGAAAGAAAAATTTTCAAGGAAGAAAGAGAAATTAGATTTCCTTGTCAGGAAGAAGAAGGTTACAGAATAGGAAAAGAAGTATAAAAACAAGACAGAAACTACTAAAAGAGAAATGAAAAGAAGGAAAGAAAGAAATAAAGTTAGTATGCCATAATATCAATGGACTCAAAACCAAAGGTTGAAAATTGGAAAATTTGCTCAACTGAACAGAAGAAGAAGAAATTGTAATATTAGGAATCATAGAAACAAACATTATTGAAAGAGAAGAGAGGTTCCTAATACATGCAGCAAGCAAGAATTATATAAGATACTGAACAAATGCAGCAGAAGATAAGAAAAAAGGTTCAGATATAGGAATACTAATAGAAGAACAATAGGAAAAGAATATGGATGCAGTCAAGAGGATAAGTAAATATATGATGAAGATCACATTATATTTTAAGCAATTGGAGTTAATAGTAATAGAAGTTTATATACCACCAAATAATAAAACAATAGGAAAAAACATCCAACAGAAGATTGTAGAAATAGTTACAAAATGAAAAAGACAAACACAAGTGGTGATTATAGATGACTTTAATCATACAATAAACAATATATCAGATAGGCAACATACACAATTAGAAAATTTCAAAAAACTATCAATCTTTAATTGGATGAGAAAATAAGACTTTATAGACACATACAGAAATATACACCTGACAAGCCAAAAGTACACATGGTCAAGCAAAGAAGCAGCAACAAGAATTGACTATATTTGGATGTCAGAAGAACTGGCCTTAGGCTTGCAAGGAGCAAGCATTAAGGAAACAGAAGAAATCATGAATAGTGATCATAAAATAATAACTGCAGAAATATGGATTAAACATATGATGGAGAAAAGCAGCAAAGCAGAAATTAAAAAAAAAGGACAATCAAAAACACTGTATTTATATAATCAAGCAAAACCAAAAAATTGAAAAGATTATGTACAAGAGCTACAGAAGTGACTAGAAGCAAAAGAAAGTCTAAAAAATATTCAAACAGAAGTACAAGACATGAAGGAACATATAAATAAAATAAATAATATATGGGATACATTAGAAGAAGCAATTATTACTGTAGCAAATAAGCACATACCTAAAAAAAGAATATACAACACAATAGCAAATAGAAGAACTAGTAAAAAAGTACAACAACAAGAAAAAGATATTGTAAAGATACAAAGATTAATCAAATATGCAAAGACAAAAAAAGACCAAGAAGTAACAGAAGAAAAAAGAAATAAAACAAATGAACAAATAAAAGCACTAGACAACAAAATAGATGCAAAGCTGCCAAAAGTACAAAGACATTGGTCACATGCCTGGATAGAAGATATAAAAGGGTGGCAGAAACTTCTACAAGAAAAAAAAAAGAAAAACTAGGAACAGGCACAAAGAAGGCAAATAGAAGAAAATGTAGACAAAAGATATAAAATGATCAAAACAAATCAAGAAAAAATGCTTGCCAGTCTTCTAAATAAGCTGTATAAAAAGATAACACTTGATAGGCTTATTAAGTAAGTAGAAGAGGATACAATTTTAATAACAAAACCAGAGAAGGTTAAAACAAATGTAGCAGAACATTATAAGTTGCAGTTTAGAAAAAGGAATACTAAATTAGAAACAATGACAGAAAAGTAGAAGGAGATATACAAACTGAAAGGAAACATTAGAAAGGAATGGTACACAGAAATTGAAGAAAGAATTAAGAAAAAAGAATGGGAAGAGACATTAAGAGAGCTTAAGACAGGGACAGCTCCAGGTATCTCAGGTATAAGCTATATACTAATCAAAAGAGCAAGAATGAAAACACAAGAAATCTTCAGAAGCTTCACAGACCTATGCTTGAAGATAAAAGAAATTCCAACAAAATGAAAAATAGCACAAGCTTACTTGATACCAAAAGATATAAAATGAAGATATAGTTTAAACAACATTCACCTGATAGCACTTATTGAAATATTTAGAAAAGTTGTAACAAAGGTGGTAACAAAAAGGCTTGCCAAAGTATTTATGGAAAGAGAAATACTCAAAGAACCAAACTTTACAGGCCTTTCAGAAAACTCAACAGAGCAACCAGTACAAATTCTAAATATGATAATGGAGAAAGCAAAAGAAAAAGATAAGGAAGTATGGATACTGTTGCAAGATATTAAAAAGACATTTGATTTAGTTCCTCTTGAAAGTCTTGAACTAGTGTTGCAAAGAGTTAAAATACCCAAAAGAACAGCTAAATATATTTTAAAGCTGTTTCACAAGAAACAATTGAGAATAATTACAGCTTATGGCTTAACAGAAGAACTAATAACAGAAGACAGAATAGATCAAGATAAAGTAATCTCATTATTAATATAATGTCTCTTTTATAACCCATTACTAGAAAGAATCCAAGAAGATGAAAGTTTGGAGTATACAGTTGAGTAACAAATACAAAAAGATATGCAATGCAACAATATTACAAGATATCATCAAGTGGCAATTGCATATGCAGATGATACAACATGAATTGCAAACAGTAAGAAGCAATTATTAAAGATTCTAGAAATAGCTGAGGAGTTTTTTGAAATGAATAATATAGAAATAAATGGATCAAAGTCAAAATTAATAATAATGAATACAAAAATTGGAAAAGAAGAAAGAACAGTAATATATAGAAAAAGCAAGATAATAGAAGAACCAAGATATAAAATAGTTCACTCATTGAAAATATGGCTAAACAGCAGAATGTGAGAAATACAAGTAAAAAAGAAGGCAAAGAGGATAGTGAGCCAGACTATAAGAGATCTAAAGTACAAAAAAATGACAATAAGCCAAATTGCATATATAAACAATATGGTAATAATACCCAAACTAAGCTATATGTTATAGTTAACGAAAATGTCAGACAGAAGCCTAAATAAAATACATTAACCAATAATAAGTCAGACTAAGCAGAAGAGCAATTTACAAAGAACAGTAGAAAACTGTATAATGGAGCACAAAGATCTTGGCAGCTGTAGAACACTGTGATAAGAGTTAATTATGAAGCAAATAAGTGGCTTTGTAGCAAGACTAAACAGACAAAACAGTCTTGAAGAATTAACAAGACTAAGGATAACGCAAAGCTGTCAAAGAGCAGACTTAACAGAAGACATATGAAAGACAAAAGAGTAGCCAGAAACTGAAACATACCTGAAGAATAATTTAGCATGCCTTATAATACTCAAAACAAAAAA